GTTGGCGGAGGCTGGAGCAGCTGGAGCGGCATCTGGGCTGGCGGCCATTGGCACCCTGGCCTCGCTCGGGGAGGTGACGAGCCCGGGCCTGTCCAGAGGAGTGCCCAGAGGAGGCAGGTGGGAGCTGGTTTAGCACCCCCAGAAATGAACTGGGGAGAGCCTGCTAACTTGAGAGACCCTCTCTGTTTCCCTTGGAGCAGAGTCCTGGGTGTGAAGGGAGTGGGGTAGCCCAGTCTTTCTGCCCTGGCCCTGGGCTGCAGGAAAGAAGGAAGATGGGAAGGGCCAGGTGATGCAGGCTCTATGGGAGCTGTGGGAGCTGTGGGAGCTGTGGAGGCTGTGGAGGCTGTGGGGGCTGTGGGGGCTGTGATAGCTGTGGGAGCTGTGGGGGCTGTGGGGGCTGTGGGGGCTGTGGGGGATGTGGGGACTGTGGGGACTGTGGGGGATGTGGGGGCTGTGGGGGCTGTGATGGCTGTGGGGGCTGTGATAGCTGTGGGAGCTGTGGGGGCTGTGGGAGCTGTGGGGGCTGTGGGGGCTGTGGGGGCTGTGGGGGCTGTGATGGCTGTGGGAGCTGTGGGGGCTGTGGGGGCTGTGATGGCTGTGGGGGCTGTGATAGCTGTGGGGGCTGTGGGGGCTGTGGGAGCTGTGGGGGCTGTGGGAGCTGTGGGGGCTGTGGGGGCTGTGGGGGCTGTGATGGCTGTGGGGGCTGTGATAGCTGTGGGGGCTGTGGGAGCTGTGGGGGCTGTGGGGGCTGTGGGGGCTGTGGGGGCTGTGATGGCTGTGGGAGCTGTGGGGGCTGTGGGGACTGTGGGGGATGTGGGGGCTGTGGGGGCTGTGGGAGCTGTGGGGGCTGTGGGGGCTGTGGGGGCTGTGGGAGATGTGGGAGCTGTGGGAGATGTGGGAGATGTGGGAGCTGTGGGGTTCTGGGGTGAGTGCCTTGCCCCTCCTGGACCCCCACCCAGAATACATTCTGGCCTCACACTTGGCAGGGGCCAGCATCTTGAGACTGGCAAGGACAGAGAGATGGAGTCCTCTTGTCTTCCTGAGATTCTCAGTCAACATCGACGTGAATTTTCCTTATAGTGAGAGACGGGCTCACCAACAGGAGGCCTGTGGAAGCTGCTGAAGAAGCCGGAGCCACTGGCTCCTCTCCTGCCCCCCCTCCCGCCCCCCATCCCAGTTTCCTGATGGACAATCAGCCAGCCACACAGTTCTCGGGGCCTCTCGCCTGAATCTCGTCTCACTGCAGAGGGTGTCGCCCCCACCCCTGGTGCTGTGGTTTCCGGTCAATTCCACTAGTGCCCAGTGAGGGTGGGCACGCAGCCTGGTGGATATGCCAAAGAGGATTTTGGTCCCTAGTCCTTGCTGTGGAGCCCCCAGCATCAGAAGTGGCGACATCATGCTTCAGAAACAGATGCAAACCTCAGTCTGGGGCAGGCAGAGCCATTGGCACAGAGTCTGACAGGCTGCGCAGTCCCTGGGGCCAGGACAAGGCATATGGTAGGTGGGTGTCGCAAAAACTGGCTGAGTGGACTGGACAGGAAGTGGAGGTGGCGAGGAGAAGCAGTTCTGGGCACGGCACGTTCTCTTTATGGTTCTCTGTGTCCAAGGTGGCCAAGAGAGGTGGGGGTGTGCAGGTTAGCTACCAACTTTCTCCCACCACTGCCTCCTCTTGTCCACCTAACCCTGCCCTGTCCTGGAGCCAGGCCAGGCCCACTTCCCAGCCTGGAGGCCTCACCCTATCCTCCGGATTGCTTCCGAGGGCAGACAGCTGACCTCAGTGCATCCTGCCATCTGTCCACTTGGTCCTGGCTTGTCCATCGGGAAGCCACGTACCAGGTTGGCACAGAGGTCTCAGGGGAATAGTGGAGACAGCCCATCCATGCAGGGTAAGGCTGCAGGAGAGCCAGGAGCAGGTTACAGGATGCTTCCAAGAGAGACCGAACCGTTAAGTGAGAGCAGAGGGCTGGCTTTTCTGGAAACTTTGGGATCCTAGGACTATGAGGCAGTTGGGAGTGGGGCCTGGCCCAGTGCTCGGCATTCCCTGGGGTTCACAAGTGAAGAATGAGCTGGGCCAGCCGTTGCACACCACACTAGGGAACAGATTCAGATGGAGGGGAAGGGAGGCCTGAGGTGTCCAGCACCAAGTCATGGCTGGTTTGTGCTTCAGAGCAAATAATGGGCAGGATGGGGAGCGCTCTGGAATATCAGGGTGGGAACAGGCAAGGGACCAGAAGTCTGGTTTGGAAGCGCCAGGCCAGTCCCAGGTTCCGGGACACGGGGACCAGCGCCTATGGGAAGGAAGCTTGGCTTCAATGGGACATCTGACTGCAGGGTGGGTTGGCACGCTTGGAGAAGACAGGGTTGACCCCTGAGAAATGCACATGCTCTGGAGGGAGGGAGGGAGGGAGGGGAGTGCCCAGGAATGGTGAGAACACACAGGCTGTTGAGGGGTTTGGCAGGAGGGCATGGACTGACAGGACATCAGACAGGTGAAACCCTGCATTCAGGACTTCCAAGGAGAAGTTGCCCCCTCTCCAGCCTTCACCTGCAGCTGGTGAAGTAAATAAGATGGAACTGCATACATGCTGCCTGCTGAGGGCAAGGAGCAGGGTCTGCAGGGGAGAGAGGGTGCTCTGTGTGGCAGTGGGGATGGGGGAGGGAGAGAGCCCTGTGCAGGAGACGGAGGGAATGCATAGGGAGGCTGGTGTGGCTGGAGTGCAGGGCCCCATGGGGTGAGAGGAAGGAGCTGGAGAAATCCAGACCCTAGCAGGACTGTGCAACTTGGAAATGTTCTCTGAGCCAACCAGGCGCCAGGCGCTCAGGAGCTCAAGGGCACGGGCTTGGTGCCTCAGGCCAGGAGAAGGCTTGGAAGACTTTGGAGACTGGAGTGGGGAACAGGATAGGGTCCGCTTCCCACTTCAGAGAGCAGGTTTGTTGCTGTCCCCGGTTGCTCTCATCAGAGCTGGTTAGAACTGAGTTACTTCGAATAGGACTCACTGAGTACAAGTATCATAACGTGAGTCTGATGGACACAGAAGCCTTGCCCCATCTTCTCGGGGCTCAGCCTGCCCAGGGGAGAGGAGGTGCTGAATAAGAAGATGTCCCAGGAGTTCTGGCTCAGGCACTAGGAAAGCTGCCATTCCCTCAGTCTCACCAAACAAGGACGGAGAAACAGGCCTTCCCACCTGGCTCCCAGATAAGCAAGGCCCCAGGGGCTGCTCTGGACCTAGGCCGGAGACTCCCCCCCACACACACACAGTCCAGAATAAGGAGGGGCTGGGCTCCCCGAGCAGGAGGACAGAGCATGCCCAGCCCCAGCCTGAGTGAGCTAAGAGACAGCCACTCTTTGACGCTGATGGTGCATTCAGAAGCCATGGGTGTTGGTCCCCTAGAATCTCCCACCCAGCAGTGCCCCTGGATCTGGGGCCTCCCCCACCAGCCTGAAGATCTCCACAGCCCTTCCTCAGACCCCTGCAGGCCTGTGATTCCGGCAGCTGATGGAAGAGAAGATTGCACAGCCTGGCACCATTCACACCAGCATGAAGGAGGTACTAAGACACAGAGCGCTGCCTATAAGTGCCACCAACATGCCAGGGGCAGCAGGACCATGGGGCACCCACTGCAGAGATGGACAATCCACAGGTAGCAGGCAGCGGGGCACCCATTATTGAAATGGAAGTGTCCACAGAGGCAGGACCCCAGGAACCACTGTGGAGGCGGACATGCTGGTGGCAGCAGGATGGCGGAGTGCCCACCATAGAAATGATAAGTCCCCAGGGGGCAGGCCTGTGCATCACCTGCCAATTCAATAAACTCTCACTCCTCCTGCCAAGAGGACCTGGTCATTTTTTAAAAACATATTTTGTTGATTTTTTACAGAGAAGAATAGAGAGTTAGGAACATCTATGAGAGAGAAACATCAATCAGCTGCCTCCTGCACACCGCCCATAGGGGATGTGCCTGCAACCCAGGTACATGCCCTGTACTGGAATCAAACCTGAGACCCTTCAGTCCACAGGCCAACGCTCTATCCACTGAGCCAAACCAGCCAGGGCACCTGGTCATTTTTTTTTTTTTTAAATCATGCACACAGTGAAATGAAAATGGTTCCGTCAGTCTGACACACAAACACATGTGTAATCAACTCCCCCATCAACACAGAGCACTGTCACCCTAGACCCCTGTGGTCCAGCAGAACTCTCCACAGGCTCTGACCTGTCCCATACGTAACCCTCCACCCTGGTAACCTGGGGCCACGTGTGGCTGGTGTGACTGAGAAGCCAAGTTCTCTCTTTTTATGTCATTTTACTTCATTAAAAGTCAGGTGCCTGTGGGTAGAGGGGACCATTCTGCAGCCTGAGAAACCTTTGTCCCAGACAGGCCCGTCTCCCCGTGTGCATGTGGGAATCACCTCTCCGGTTTCTGTTCCCATCCATGGTGTGCTCAGCTCCTGCCTCAGAGAAATGGAACTCAGGCATCGGTCAGGCCTCTCTGCTGCCCTCACTCCTATCTCCCAGCGGATTCCCCCGCAGAAGCTGCCTTGTGTCCACACCTCCCTGCTGCACTCGCAGAGCTTCCTGTCTGCGTGCATGCTCACAGCCTGAGAATATTCGGAGCACGTCTTCCTTGGGACATATGTTTTTACTTCCGTGGGGCTGGCCTGGGCGTGTGGGGGTTGGAGGTCTGTGGTTCAGCCACTGTTGTGCCCACTTACCCTCACTCCTGCCCCGGACCAGCAGCCCCTCCTCTGGGCAGCAAGTGGCCCCAGCCCCCCGTGATGCACTACCCACCACTCCACAGGCACATCTTGAGTTTCGTGCTCAATCTCAGGTACAGCATCGGGACAAGCTACCTCCCGGGTGGCAGCACATCTCACCCTGGAATGCACAAAGAAAAGGGCCTTCCTGCTCCCCCCAGGGCAGACCCAGCTTCTGCTCCTGCCTCAGAGGCTGCCAGGGCAGCTCTCCCACTCACCAGGCCTCTTTGCCCTTCTCCCCCAGGTCCCTGGCAGTCGGGCCCCAGTACTCGTCCCTGGGGACACAGCCCATCCTTTGCGCCAGCATCCCGGGCCTCGTCCCCAAACAGCTGCGCTTCTGCCGGAACTACGTGGAGATCATGCCCAGCGTGGCCGAGGGCGTCAGGATCAGCATTGAGGAGTGCCAGCACCAGTTCCGCGGCCGCAGGTGGAACTGCACCACCATCGACAACAGCCTGGCCATCTTCGGCCCCGTGCTGGACAAAGGTATGCTTCCAGGGGGAGGTGGAAGCCTGTTGGTGCCGCAGGCCCGAGCCAGCTGCCCTGCTCTGCCCTCGCGTCCCACCTGCCCCCAGTCATGGGAGCAGCACCTCCAACAGGTGGGCAGTGGGGCACACGCCTGGTGATATCGGCATCTCTGATGTGGTTTCTTCCCATGGTCCCTGGCCCTGGGGGGGCTCCTGAAGCTCAGGAAGGACACAAGATCACACAGATTTCTCTGACTTGCCCTCCCTGAAAGGAAACTGCACTTAAGGCAGGTCTTAGGGAGAAAATACAATTAAAAGAGGAAAAAACAAAAACAGGAAGGGAGAGGATTGGAGGCCAAGAGGCACATGAGGAAAGCTGTCCAGGGGCCTGGAGCCAGTGGTTATTTGGGGAAGGAGAGGAAGATGAGGAGGGCTGCATGTTGGTGAACTTTTGGTGAAGAGCAAATTTTCTCAAAAAGTCATGGTTTAAACCAGCGATTTTTAGCCAGTGTGCCACAAGAATTTTTAAAACATGCAACATCTGACTATTTAGTTAGTGGTACTGATCTCTTTTTCCTTAAGATGTCAGATTTTTAAAAATGATAGCAGGTACTACAACAATAGCCATCCAGTATAAATGAATCAAAATTATAACTATTTTTGTCAGATTGTAAATATATATATAATGAACTGCAGAATTTTAGTAATTAGTTTATGTGTGTCATGTGATGAAAAAGGTTGAAAATCACAGTTTGGACAATGATGATGTGTCATACGTCCCAACAAATCAGAGTGCAGCACACCCAAGTTTGCCTATGCCCCTCTGCCAGTCCATGTTCTTCCTCACATCTGGCCATCAGTGGGCTGATCGCATTCCTCTGCATGTGGCCTGGGCTCCATTACTATATGGGAGCTGGGCCACATGGGCAAGTGGGAAGGGAAGGAGGTGGAGAGTGGGAGAAAGGGACTCCTTTCACTTAGCAGAATGTTTTCAAGATTTATCCACATTGTAACATGTTACAGCACTTCATTCCTTTTATTTCTGAACTAGAGGTCCATTACATGATATTCGTGCAAGGATATGCCTTCCTTACCCTGGCTCTACTCCTGGATGCTTGGGAGCCCAAAAGTCCTCACTTCTGGCCAGAGCACTGATCCTGTAGCTCCCTCTGCTGCCCCCTATCCCCCTCACAGCAGATGTCCCACCCCTCCTGGCAGCTCTGCACCTGCATACACAAATTAACCCACCATCTTTGTTTAGTTAATTTGCGTACTCACTCCTGGTTGGCTGTGGTCATAGCGGAGGTATGGTCAATTTACATGCTTGACTATTATTAGGTAAGATAATATTCCACTATATGGATATACCACATTTTATTACTCATTCATCATTGATGGACATTTGGGCGTTTTCAACCTTTGGCCATTGTAAAGAGTGCTGCTATAAACATTTTAATACAACTGTTTTCAAAGCCTTTGGAGTGGATGAGTAGAATTGCTTGTTCTCGGGATAATTCTAAGTTTTTTTGTTGTTGTTGTTTCTTTTTTAAGAGTATTTTTTTTAATATTTCAAGAAAAAAGATTTTAAGTATAATAATGTTATATGCAATAAACATTAATATTTCAAGAAAAACTATTTTAAATAAAATAATACTAGAGGCCCAGTGCACAAAATTTATGCACTAGTTGGGGTGAGGGGGTCCCTAAGCCTGGCCTGGAACCTCTTGCAATCTAGGACTCCTCAGGGGATGTCTGACTGCTAGTTCAGGCCCAATCCCACAGGCAGTCAGACATCCCTCACGCAATCAGGATCATTGCCTCCTAACTGTCTCTGCCTGCCAGCCTGATTGTCTCTAACCACTCACCTGCCTGCCTGATCTCCCCTAATCGCCTCTGCCTCGGCCCCCACCTCCATGGCTTCATCCAGAAGGTCATCTGGAAGAACGTCTGGAATGAGTCCAGAAGGCCATTCAGCTATTCAGTCTAATTAGCATATTACCCTTTTATTATTATAGATTAAATGCAATAAAAATTAATATTTCAAGAAAAAATTTAAATATAATAATATTACTAAAATTGTACTAACATATTATAATATTACAAAAGTTGTAGGAAATATTAAAAATCTGCAAATAACAGGGATTATTTTTATTATAGTCTAAAATACTTTTTTCTCTGGCTCTATTTTGGTTCATCAGTTTATGTTGTTCATTATATCCCACAAATGAGTGAGATAATGTGATATTTATCTTTCTCCAACTGACTTATTTCGCTTAGAATAATGCTCTCCAGGTCCATCCATGCTGTTGCAAATGGTAAGAGTTCCTTCTTTTTTATAAAGTAGTATTCCATTGTATAGATGTACCACAGTTTTTAATCCACTCATCTGCAGGCTGTTTACAAATCTTAGCTATGGTAAATTGTGCTGCTATGAACATAGGGATGCATATATCCTTTCTGATTGGTGTTTATGATTCCTTGGGATATATTTTTATAGAAGTGGGATTACTGGGTCAAATGGGAGTTTTATTTTTAACTTTTTGAGGAAACTCCAAACTGTTTTCCACAGTGGCTGCACCAGTCTGCATTCCCACCAGCAGTGCACGAGGGTTCCTTTTTCTGTGCATCCTCGCCAGCTCTTGTCATTCGTTGATTTGTTGATGACAGCTATTCTGACAGGTGTGAGATGATACCTGATTGTCATTTTGATTTGCTTCTCTCAGATGATTAGTGACTTTGAGCTTGTTTTCATATGTCTCTTGGCCTTCTGTATGTCCTCTTTCAAAAAGTGTCTAATGAGTATGGGGGCTGGGAAGAGGCAATGGTATATGTACACAGATAATAATTTAATTTAAAAAAAGTGTCTAATGAGGTTCTTTGCCCATTTTTTTTATGGATCCTTTATCTTCCTTTTGTTAAGTTGTATTAGTTCCCTGTAAATTTTGGAGATTAAACCCTTATCAGAGATAACACTGGCAAATATGTTCTCTCATATAATGGGATTTCTTATTGTTTGTTGATAGTTTGTTGACTGTGCAGAAGCTTTTTTTTTTTTTTTTTTTTTTTTTTTTTTGATGTAGTCCCATTTGTTTATTTTCTCCTTAGTTTTCTTTGCCCTAGGAGCTGTATTGGTGAAGAAATTGCTATGACATATGTCTGATATTTTGCTGCCTGTGGATTCCTTTAAGATTTTTATGGTTTCCTATCTTATGTTTAAGTCTTTTATCCATTTTGAGTTTATTTTTGTGTATGATGTAAGTAGGTGGTCTAATTTCTTTTCTTTATCCTTTTTTTTTTTTTTTTTTTTGCCTGTATCTGTCCAATTATTTTGAACAGCATTTATTGAAGAGACTGTCTTGACTCCACTGTATGCTAGTGTCTGTCTCCTTTGTCAAGTATTAGTTGAGCATAATGATGAGTTAATTTCTGGGTTCTCTGTTCTGTTCCATTGGTCTATATGTCTGTTCTTGTGCCAGTACCAGGCTGTTTCGAGAACAGTGGCTTTGTAATTTAGCTTGATATCTGATATTGTGACCCTTCCATCTTTTTTCTATTTTCTCAAGATTGCTGCTGCTATTCAGGATCTTTTTTTGGCCACAGGCCCTCGAGCTTCTGCCACCTTTTTTTTTTTTTTTCTTCCTTCTACTTACTCTGGGATTTTCTTGTTTTTCTATTTCTAGTTTTTTAAGTTGTAGGGTTAAACAGTTTATTGTTCGTTTTTCTTGGGTTTTTGTTTTTTTTTTTTAGGTCTACCTGTAGTGCTATGAACTTCCCTCGCAGGACTGCTTTTGCTGTGTCCCAGAGATTTTTGGGTGTTGTGTGTTTATTTTCATTTGTTTCCAGGAATTTTTTATTTCTTGATCTCATTGGTAGCTCATTCAATGTTTTATAACATGCTTTTTGACCTCCATGTGTTTGAATGTTTTGGGTGTTTTCACTGTAGTTGATTTCTAATTTATATATATATATATATATATATATATATATATATATATATATATATATGTATATGATCATGTCATCTGTGAATAGAGATACTTTTCATTCTTCCTTTCCAATTTATATGCCTTTATTTCTTTTTATTGCCTAACGTCTCTTGCTAGTATTAAATAAAAGTGGTGAGAGTGGTCATTCTTGTCTTCTTACTGATCTTAAGTAGAAAACTTTCAGTCATTCAACTTTGAGTGTGATGTTAGCTGTCATTTGCCTTGTATGCCCTTTATCAGATTGAGAAAATTTCCTTTTACTTCTAGTCTGTTGAGTGTTTTTATCATGAAAGGATGTTGGATTATATCAAAATCTTTTTCTTCATCAAGTAAAATGATCATGTGGTGTTGCCTTTATCCTCTTCATGTGTGTTAGTGCTGGTTGATGTTGATATTTGAGGGCATTGAACCACCCTTGCCTTCTTGGGATAAATCCTCCTTGACCATGATGTACAATCCTTTTGATTTGCTGGATAATTTTGTTTGCAATGATTTTGGTGAAGATTTCTGCATAAGGAATATTGGTCTGTAGTTTCTTTTCTTACATTTGTCTGTTTTTGGTGTCCGGGTAATGCTGACCTCATAGAATGTGTCTAGAAAGGTTCCCTCCTCTTGTTTTGGGGAAGAGTTTAAGAATCATTGGTGTTGATTCTTCTTTAAATGTTAGTTATAACTTCCCAAACTTTCTTTGTTGAGAGGCGTTAAATTACTGATTCAATATCTCGACGTGTTATAGATCTATTCAGATTTTCTATTTCTTCTTGAGTTAGTTTTAGTAGTTTGTGTTTTCTAGAAATTTCTCCATATTGTCTAGATTTCTTGCTTTTTTGAATGCCTCATAATTTTTGGTTGAAATATGTACCTTTTTAATATTATAATATGGTAACTCTGGAAATTGGATTATTTTCCCTTCTCCAGTGTGCTTGCTATGAGTTGTAGTTGCTTATTTTTGTGTCTTTCTTTTTTTAAAATCCTCACCCATGGGTATGTTTTTATTGATTTTATAGAAAGAGGGAAGGGGAGAGAAAGAAAT